ATTATAGAGTGGGATGAAAAGGCTCTCAGGAATAAGACTTCTAACTTCTAAAGGAAAGTGGATGCTGTGCAAGGGATCTCGAGTACTATCAGCCTCATCACAGGACCCAGATCTATCCGATAAATAGAACTTATGAAGGAAAATGGATGTTGTGAAAGAGGCATAGATCATACAGGATTCCACAATTATTGGAAGCGAAACCATAAAGAAGAAGATATCTGCAAGCGCATTCCACAATTATTGGAAGTGAAACCATAAAGAAGAAGATATCATGGCTACACCGGATGCAGACCCGGACATCGCCGGACGTCTGGACGGACGTTGGACGCACGTCTGGACCTGACTGGATGTCCAGACCACCAAACAAGAAGGGTCAGATGGGGTTCCATAACGTGATGTAAATCAAGATGAATGACCGGAGAGTGGATCAGGATAAACTACGAAGATGCAGAAGGGGACGACCAACTCAACAGCTCAGGGTAAGGTGGCGGTACCGACAAGCAACAACAAAAAAAAAAAAGAGAGTACCGACAAGCAAAAGAGGATATAGATGGTTCCGCAAAGAGTGACTGCACAGGAGTGCGCCTGCCTCGCAAAAGAGGATATAGCGTGTCTCACATGATGAACAAAACCCCTCGGCATGCCTACATGTGCTCCATATGACGGGCCCTGTGCCCGCCCTAATCGAAGGCGGGCACCCTTACCTCGTGAGGCCTGAATATCGCAATTTTGGTGGGCGCCAGACAGTTACCACGCGTCAGTTGGTTACATACGCCCTGCTCATGATCATCAGAATCTTGACTGAGCTTTCTAGGCTCCTCTTCTCGACGTGGAAGCAGGTCCCACGGCCTATCAGAAAGCAGGGAACACCTCGCTGGGCGCTGGGTGGTTGGGCGCGCCTAACTGCTGCGGGCCCAGGCCACTGTCTGAACGGGCCTGGGCGCAGACACTTTGGCCCAACTGGAAGCTAGAGGGCACGCGCGCATCCCAGACCAGGCAGCGAGGGAGGCACGCACTTTCCATTTAGGAAAGAGCTCGCCTCTCATTCGAACATTCGGCACTTTCCACCCATGCGCAAGTGCTGCTTGTTTGTGCGCTGGAGGAAGCCGCTGAGTTGGAGTGCTGGGCGTATGCGGGAGCTGGTGGGGATAGCGTTGCTGGTAGGCAGCGAGCGCCAAGCCAGCCATATCCGTGGCTTGGGCGCATAGGCCAGTGGGGGTATGGAGGTCGTCCTGGGTTGAAGACAGAGCGTGGGGGAGAAGACGAGGATGCGCATTGAGACGGTGAGTGGGGAGTCATGTGGGGGCACGTACCTGGTCGTCGTGGAGGTCTGCATGAGCGACATCCGCATGTACTTTGGTTGCTGATGCTGACATCAACTGGTTGTTTTGTCATTTCTGTAGGCTGACGTAGTAGCTGTAGGATCGCTGTCTGGGCGCTGTGCGCCAGTAGGAGGAAGAGCTCCGAGTACATTGTTGGTGGTGGCGAGAGAATGCTTTCATTGACAATTGAGTTCGCTGCTTTGGTTCTCCTTGGGTGTGATATAAGCTGAGTGGGGATCCGGGCCGCCCGGGTGACCGGCAGGGGCCCGGGGGAGGTCCCGGGCGGCCTGGCCGGGCAGGGCACCCGGTTGGGGGCCAGGCCCCCGCAGCGCACTCACCTGTTGGGGGATTTCGGACCCCTTTTCGGACCCCCTTTGTGTGTGTGTGTGTGTGTGTGTGTGTGTGTGTGTGTGTGTGTG